GATAGAACGTCCCAAATTTGCTAGGGAGAGCAACTTGGATCCATCAACTGGACGAGAATTCGGGGCTGAGTAGTGATTAAGGCTGTGCCTATCCACAAATTTTTTGTCGATCCCATATTACTAAAAATTCGATATCGATCCGATGTTTATATTGAATTTTATTTACCATTCTTTGAACCAATGTAATAAAAATATCAATATTTCCCATTATAAAAAACCAAAAAACTTTCACGAATGATTAAGTTTATTTTATTTTATTTTTCAAAAGTTAATAATCTCTTTTAAAATATTTGCAATGTTTTTATGGCTTATGGGTATGTAGTGTTGTTAAACAGCTTCACTTAGTCGATTTTTGCCAATAGAAGTCTAAACCATTCTGTCACCTGTGAACAAAATAAATAAGCTTGAGTAATTTATGTGTGACCAAAATTTTGAGTTAACCGTTTATATAAATTGGTAAAATCGAGCCTTTAACAACACTAGCTTAAGTGATTTGTTAAATATTTTAAAATCCTTTTTGAGGATAATATAATAAAAAAATTTGTAACTTTTAACCAGGGATGTGAACCCGAACCCTTGTATTTTGACTGAACCCAAATCCGGACCCTTTTTAAAAGTGGAGGGTTCAAGGGTTCTAGGTGTCATAAAAATTTTAAAAATAAAAAAAAATTTTTTAAAAATAATATAAATTTTTTTAAATTTTATTAACTTTTTTTGTGGAATCATTTATTTTATCTTCGCGTTTTTCTTTCAATTTTCTTCCTGGACTTCTATTTTATTTAAGATTGATATCATTAGTTTAGGTAATAATATTTTATTATGTAAATTTTTTAATATGCTATGTTATAGAAATACGTTGATTATTTTTAAAGTGAATTATGTAATAATATTTTAATTTTAATGATAATGATAAAATATGCACAACACGTTGGCCCTCAATTTGTATGTTTCTAGAAAGATTAGTAAGTTTGAAAGATTTCTATAATGATTTTATTATAGGAGCATGTGAAGTCATTTTGTCGGAAGATGATTGATGCCAAATAAAGGACCTTACTAGTGTATTAGTTCCTTTAAAAATAACAATATTAAGATTATAATCAGAACAATTATGTTTATTTGAGTTTTATGGCATATGGATTAGATGCCGATTAGATTTAGAAAAATTTACCGTCCTTTTTATACGAAATATTAGAAAACATGAAAATTCGAGAGCAACAATATTTGCAAAATAGCGTTGTATACGTTTCTATATATTTAGACCCTCGATATCAAGTTTTATTGAGTATTGAGCAAAAACAAATGGCTAAAGATCATTTTAAGGATTTATGGCATATGCAAAACTCCATTATTTACAATATATTGGAGGTTACGACAATACCTACTGGTTGTAGTGATAATAATAATAATAATAATGATAGCAACATTGATGATCTAGAAATTTTACTTTTAGATAGAGAAAATAAATAAAATTATCATCAGATAGAAAGGAGGATCAAAAAATGTCTATTGCATCTTTAATAATTAAGTAAAGTTCTCAGAGATTAAGAGAATAAATAAGGATATAAATATTTTAAAATTCTTAGAAGGAAATTCTTCAATATATCCAGAATTATATATCTTATTTAGATTCATGGCTGAACTGGTGACACAAGTAAAATAATTTAATAAAGATAATGATCTATTTTAGGAAAGGGTAGAATGTGAATTTTCATCTTTGAAATATTTGTCTACTTTACGTGGAAATCTCAAGGATGATATTTTAGAAGATATTATGATTGTGCGATTGAATAAAACATTTAAAATATAAATTATTTCATTTTTAAATTTTTCATTTGAGTCTTCATTCTTGGTTTGAATGGGTATGACTTGGTCTGGGTGTGGGGAGGGGGTGTATGGAGGGGGGTGTAAAAATAATTTTTTTTGATATGGGTATCAAATAAAAGGTAATAAAAATATTTTTTTATTGTAATAATAATGATCCCTCATATAGAGGGCGGGTCTAGGTCTTGGGGGGTCAGGAATATTTTTATCACCACAAAATATCGATATGAGTATCAAATAAAAGCTAATTTAAATATCTTTAGATTGAAATTATTCATTTTTTTGTCTTGATGGGTATGATTGTCAGGCTCTCAACATATTAACAAAATGTCTAGTTGGATAGAATTTAGAGAAATAAAAGAGAATGAAGAGAAAACAATTTTTTAAATCTTTTTTCGGTTTCACAGTCATACCCATCAAGACAAAAAATGAATAATTTTAATCTAAAGATATTAAAATTAGCTTTTATTGATACCCATATCGATATTTTGTTGATAAAGATATTTCTGACCCCCCAAGACCTAGACCAGCCCATTATGGGGGAGAGATTGACTTCCAGTTGAATAGATCTTTTGATTAGCTATCGATTGATACCCTATGTTAGACATATCTTATTTGATAAGGCCAAAAAAAAACATCATTGAAAATTAATGAATAACAATAAAATTAAAAAACGAAACGAAACGAAACGAAACACGCGAAAAATGCCTTTTAAAATAAGATTCTTCTATATCATGGTTCAAACGTGATAATGGCATGTAGTTCTTTATCCTTTAAAAAATTGAAATTTTAAAGGGATCCCTTTAAATCCAGTGAAGATCCCGGATAGTTATGATCCCTTTAAAAATTACGACATATGTATGATGAAAAAAAAACGTAAAGAATTGTTAAAAAAATGGACCTAAATTTATAAATTATTTTTAAAAATACAAAAGAATTATCAAAAATGAGAAGAAAAAAAATTGAGAAAATATATAGTAAGAAAAATAAATTGAGAAAAGATACAAATAAAGTAAAGAAATCGCAAAAAGTTAGAAATAAAATAAGAAGGAATGACAAAAATAAATAAAATTTAAGAAAAATTGAAAAATTTATAATTTTTTTTAAAAAATTGCGATTTTCCTTTTTTGAATGGGAATTTTCCTTTTTTGATTGACACTTTTCCTCTTTAGAGAATTTTCCTTTTTCGATTGACACTTTTCCTTTTTTGATTGGACCTTTTCCTTTTTTGTTTGACACTTTTCCTTTTTTGATCGGACTTTTTCCTTTCTTTTTGGGAATTTTCCTTTTTTGATTGATACTTTTCCTTTTTTGTTTGGACCTTTTCCTTTTTTGATTGAACCTTTTCCTTTTTTGTTAGGACCTTTTCCTTTTTTGATCGGACATTTTCCTTTTATGATTGAAACTTTTCCTTTTTTAAATGGGACTTTTCCTTTTTTGAATGGGAAACCCTGTATTACATTATATGAAAGAGTTACATATTTTTTAAATAATTCCACAACATCTTCAACAGCTTGTTCCAAGTGATGGACGCACATATGTCGTAAGGTTAGTTTTAAGGTCCAATATTTGTCAGAAATAAGAATTTTTCCTGGAGAGGGTTATTATGGCATACATATTATATTTCAAGAAATGTATATTATCTAGATCCTCATTCTTGCAGATTATATTAAAACCCGTTGCGAATATGGGCCAGTTTATGGTATCGGCTATTATGATATAGCTAATACAAAAAAATGATTTACAAAATACCAATCATGTGATATCGTCATATCCTCATTTTGCAAACTCTGTCAGCTCCCTGTGACAGTCTAGGCCATCACGCTCTTCACTGCCGCTTTTGAAAAGGTTGCCATCCACGCCACTAAGAAGTAAATTCTATTACTAGAACTCTCCGTTCAGCCAATATTTCATCAACTTTGGAACCTTTAGGACTTAATCTAGAGGACAATGAAGAGAAAATATGCGTGAAGTAATATAAAAAAATAAGAAAAGAAATTAAGGTGGTTAGTAAATTTAAAAATAAAAAAATACATTTTAAAAAAATAAAAATTAATAGTTATTTTAACGAATTTCCATCAGTTTTCGGCTAGGATAAGTTGTGACACATTATGGTGAACAGAGTAGATCGATTAAACTGTTCTTGGACATACTGTTGTACTTGTGGAGGAAGTGGGGAAGAGTTGATACCAATTAAAATGTCAACTTGGACATACTCAACTAAATGAGAGAAAATAGGAAGATGTGAAGAGGTTGAGAGTAGAAAGAGCGGTTTCATCCAATTTTTACGAATCTTGAAATTATTAAATTATATTTCTTTTTTTAAGAGCGGGATAATGCTAACGTAGGAAACAGTGAATATAGATTTATGAGACAATATGAGCGAAATGAATAAATCCGTCCTTTTCATAATATTCATTCGAAAGGTTTGGGGAATCAAGTGCATCAATAAATGCGAAGATGAAATTATAAGTTACCTATATCAAGTAACATGTGACGCGGAAAATGAGAAGGTGAGGAACGGAGAATATAGATTTATGGAACAATATAAATGTGCAAATTTATAGTCATCTTCATAATATTCATGAGAAAGTTTAGGGAATAAAGTGAATCAATAATCCGTGCAAAGATGAATTATAAGCGCGAGATCGAGGATTCAATGGTATATTTTAAAAAATCACTTAGATTAAATTTATTACTTCATATTTATATACATGTGTTCACAAAAATTATATTAGATTGTATTTATATGTATCAAAATAAAACTATTAATTTTAAACATGGCTAATTTAACAAATATTAGGCATTTATTTGTATTAATTAAGTATTAAATGAAATTGTAAACAAATTAATTTATCATAAAGTTTTAAACGAACGTGAACGCCCATTTTTTAAAGGTGAACGTTGAATGCGTTCGATTTTTGATGAATGTTGAACGCGTTCAATTTTTTTAGTAATATTTAAAGCGCTACTAATAGTAATCCTCAACTTAGGCATATTTTATAATCCATAACTAAGCAACCGCGCAATTATATATGTATTTTAAAATTAGATTTTTTCAAGTAAATATTTGTAAAATGTTTAAAATACACTTTTTCATGTATTTAAATTAAAATATGAAGGTATACCTCTTTAATATGAATAATATATCATGAAAAAATGTAAAGTTTAAAATCTACCCTCTAAGATAGTTCCACGAGCTTTCATTCTCTACAACTTTTGTTATCATATTTTTGGTGAAACTATATATATTTAAAAAGGTATATAAAATATAATCGAATGAATATTTTTTTAAGAATACTATTTAAATTTCCTAATATATTCAAAAAAGGATAATTTAAAAGATTCGTATGTTCAGAAATCTGTAAAAACTAAACATTGTTAAAAATAATTTAATCATGCCTAATTGATAAGATAAAAGATTTATTATATTTAAAAATCACATTTTTATAATAAATTTTATCATATATTTATTGTTAAAAAAATTTTTTAAACTCAATTTCCTTGATGAGAATGTCGGTTAAGAACCCAGTAGTATTCTTGATAACAAAATATCGATGATTCCAAGCTGAATTATTCCTAACATCATCTTTGATCATTTGAGCAGTGTATTCCAGTTCACCTTGCCACATATTAAAATTTTTAATCACCCATTGCCTATTTATAATAAAAATTATTTGTAAATAAAAATGTTACTATATTATATGATCGACAAATTATATAAAAAATTTACCGGATCCCTCAAATATAAAATAAATCACAATATTCCATATAAAAAGAGTCAATCTAAAATATATCTGACCGAGGGACTAAACGCCAAGTTTACTAATCTAATAAAAAAGCAATGTTTTTTTTTGGCTAAATTATTTATAAACAACGTTATTCATCTTTTTTTGGGTAAAATGTTTAATTATTAATTTATCATTTAAAGATGTAGAGGTTAAAGGGTCTAGCATATAGATCTTGAAGATTAATGATAAGCTTTCCGTGGAATTATATTAATTGTATAATTCCAAATAATATATTTATCGTTAAAAAACACCTGAAGGAATGTCCCAGTCTCCCATATACCTTATTTTTATAATTAAATCTATATATAAAAAAGTTATATTGTTTCAATAAATTTTAAAAAGAATATTAAAAATAATTGTGAAAAATATAAAAATTTGATAAATGAATATGATAAAACATAATAGATTATAAGAATAGACTTAAGATCCAATTATTTTCATAGAACAGATTGAACCTCATTTAAATTTTTAATTCGGTTTCTAAGTTGGGCAAGTCAATCATAATATATGTTTCAATTAAATTTTCGAAAAAATTTTGAGTAAATAATTGGAATATATCAGAGCCCTGCACGAATCTATTGGAGTATGACAAAACCGAACTTGAGTGGCGGACCCCTGACAAACATTTTATCGGGCTCGGTTCAGCCAGACGTTGATTATAAATTATATATCTAACAAGAATGGATTCAAGCCTATGAAAAATTTTAAATTCTTTTATATTCAAAGCTTAATTATATTTAATATAAATTGAGTGTCGAACAGAATCGAACTATTTATTTTAAAAAAAAGGAGCTAACCCGACCCTTTATAAATCTATAAATAGGTTTAATTATGTTCATATAGGTTTTATTTTAAAAATATTAAATAATGTAATTTAAAAAAATTTACAAAATATTTTTTTTATTGTTTTATCTGTCTTTTCTTTAGCATATTTATCTCTAGGTGGTATATTTTTTAAAACTATTATGTTATGACTTATATTATTTCGTTCAGAATAAAAACTGAAACGCTTTGAATTTTTTCCTTCAATTGCTCAGAATTAAAAAATACATAAAGCTATGAATTTTTACTGTTTTTCACAAATTTTTTTCTTATAATCTAAGACAATTTTGCTAAAAATTTTGATTTACTAAGAAATATTAAATCACTCAGCAATTTTTGCTATTTTATTTTAAGAGTATTTAGTTAGCTTAAGTGTTTATTATAACTTATATTATTTGCACATTTTTTGAGGCGAAATTATGCATTAGGGGGTCAAGGCCTGTAATTTCTATATATATCAAATTAATTCTAATCAAAAGAATTTTTGAGTTTTATTAATCTATGCCCTCGAGTCAAGGTCAAAGAAAGAGGAATGAGAGCAAGCATTTTATAATATGCCGAAATGGTCACGAAAGCTATTATAGAATAATGACATGGGTATCAAATGAAAGATAATATAAAGATATTTTGAATATTGTAAATTGTGAAATATACTTTTTTTTAGATAATTTACATATTTGTTTTATTATAATTTATATTGTAATTCATTATAATTTATGAGTATTTGTTGAATATATTTTTATATTTAGTTGTAAAATATTATTTTATTCCCAAGATCATTATTAGTATATAACGTCCACTTTAAATTTTTCAATTTTTTAACTTTATATTTTTTTAATTTATAACTTTGGTATGGCTTCTTTTAATTTTTTTATACTATGAAATAAATTGAGATGAACTTCCAATTATTAATTATTTTTATTTATAGGTACTTTAATTTAATTAACAATTGGTGCTGAATTATGAACTATTTATCATAGACCCAAGATCGGAAATTCTAAAAAAAGGGTAAGAAAATACACAAGTTATTTATATATTAATATAAGAAGATATGGTAGTAGTATTCTAGATATAAATAACGTTCTTTTATATAAAAAAAATTTGATTTAGGAGGAATATCAAGTTAAATTATTTTTTTTTAAAATCGTCTAAATTCTGGAAGAGAAGTTATGAAAATGTTAACCCTATAAGTTCCCTCATAAAATTAATATGATGCAACGTATTTATTATATTTATTTTATTGATTCATTACGCCCAAAAAAAATTTTAATTTAAATTTGAGGCGCTCTCTGGTGGTTTAAAATTTATATAATTGATATTTTATGGAAACATTCGAAACGGTTTCTATTTCTATTTATACATAGTGATATGTTGCATAATTTGCACGACCATCTTGTTCTACCGAGATTTAACTTTGTAAGGTACACCTCTGGGATGTTCATTTCTGAGGTTAATGATCTGAGTTTTTAGTCTAATTTCTGGAAGGATATAAAGCTTATTATTTTTTTCTTTGCATTGATATATAATTTATCATTCTGAATATTATCACCCCTATCAACATTTTTGCAGTTTGCCAATTCGTTAGAAATTATTTGGCTTGGGAATTCTTTCGATGAGAGTTTATGGCTGTAAGAATTTTGTAGATTATGAATGAATTTATAATGGCCCCATCTATCCGTCAAAAGAATATTGGCAATTTCATGTAAAGACTTTAAATGGTCAACAGACCATAAAAATTCCTTATATTTCTTTATCATCTTTGGACATTTTACGCTAAATACTTCCCAATTTTATTTTTCTCTTCACAGTATCCTGTGATATCGTATCAATATAATTGGGCATTATAAATGTCTCGATCTCGCCATTTAATTACACTTATCGTAATATGGCACTTCTCTAATCAAACTCACCTCATATTAATTTTGTTTCCATATTCTTCATGGGCAAGTATCTCCTATTTTTGTTTAGTGTTCCAGTAACATATGTACCTTTGTTTTTTAAATGGGCATTAGAATATAGCTGGTAAAATAATTATCAATTTTTTTTTATGATTCAAGTCCTTCACAAAATTTTGTTGCGACATTAAAACCAAGAACACTTTAAACCTCTTTATCTTTCCCAATATAGATATCAAAATAATTAATATATCCGAAATTATCACATTTCATCCAAGCCCAAAAATAATAGTTTATTCGAATTAAATGACAAAATTCAAACATAATCTTGAAACAGCGTTTCATGGGTTTCTTAGGCAGATATTGATTAAATCCTATATGGCATTTGACCTAATCATTCCTTCGTCAATTGCATGATATTCCGAAGGAAGTGTGGAAGTGAAGGAGAAAGAAAAAATTTGAATATGTAATTTTGATGAATTTATTTGAATAAACGATTATTATTATTTCTGCGGTGAGAACTAATATTGTTGAGTGCAAATGTGATGTTATATAAAAGTTGAAAAAAAATTTATAATTTAGTATTAATTTTTTTATATATTCTTTTGCTTTTGTATTTTTTTAATAATTTGTTTTTATAAATTAATATAGTCCCATTAATCTGGTTAAATAGTTGATATTTAAAACAGGAAGAAAATATTTTAAGCAAGAGAAATGGATATTATCAATTAATGGCCTTATTTTGTATAATTTATCAAAATTATCACTTCTCGATAGTTCTAAGATATTGTCATTTATATGGCTGTGGCCCATATAACGTTTTTATGGATGAAACAAAATTTTAATGGAATTCTGGTTTAGAACTCAGATAATTATTGTAATTCGCCATCGTTTTAATTCCAAGAATTATGTGAAGACATAAAAATTTTCTTATTTCAGTAAGAGTTGTTAGTTGATATTTAATATTTTTTTGTTGGGCATATAAATTGGTATTGAATGTATTTGTATTGATTAGAGAATCATTAATAATTTTCGTCAGTTTTTAAAGATGATATTGGACCCGAATTTTATCAAATTCTAATGCTTGTTAATCGACTAGAGGACGAATAGTTCTATGAACTTGAACCGTCGACTAGAGGAAGAATAGTTCTATGAATTTGAGTCGTCGACTAGAGGACGAATAGTTCTATGAACTTGAGTCGTCGACTAGAGGACGAATAGTTCTATGAACTTGAATCGTCGACTAGAGGACAAATAGTTCTATGAACTTGACTCGTCGACTAGTGGACGAATAGTTCCATGAACATGAGTACTAAAGGACGAAGATTTTATAACTTAAGATTTCCAACTTGAGTCGTTATACGAAATATAATATACTAGAGTCGATTAGAGGACGAATAGTTCTATGAACTTGAGTCGTCGACTAGCGGACGAATAGTTCTATGAACTTGAGTCGTCGACTAGAGGACGAATAGTTCTATGAACTTGAGTCTTTGACTAGAGAACGAATAGTTCTATGAACATGAGTCTTTGACTAGAGGACGAATAGTTTTATGAACTTGAGTCGTCGACTAGAGTACGAATACTTCTATGAACTTGAGTCGTCGACTAGAGTACGAATAGTTCTATGAACTTAAGTCGTCGACTAGAGGACGAATAGTTCTATGAACTTGACTCGTCGACTAGTGGACGAATAGTTCCATGAACTTGAGTACTAAAGGACGAAGATTTTAAATTAGTTATTATTAATAAAACATTTGTTTTTTATTTTTAACTTAAGATTTCCAACTTGAGTCATTATACGAAATATAATATACTAGTCGATTAGAGGACGAATAGTTCAATGAACATGAGTCGTCGACTAGGGGAAGAATAGTTCTATGAACTTGAGTCGTCGACTAGCGGACGAATAGTTCTATGAATTTGAGTCGTCGACTAGCGGACGAATAGTTCTATGAACTTGAGTCGTCGACCAGAAGACGAAGATTTGAAATTAGATACTTTTGTCGACTGTCGTGATTATGTAGATAGTTAGACAATATTATTTTATTTATGCAAATATTTCTTGTTATGAGTTCGTTTAATTATATTATAATACTTATCGATATATTCAAATTTTTCTTATAAGTACGTTTAATTATATTATAAT